GATGGATCATACTCGACTTGGGGGGAGGTGGGTAGTGGAGTCCCCCAGGGCTCGGTCCTGGGGCCTGCGCTGTTCAATTTCTTCATCAGCGATCTTGATGTTGGGGTGGAAAGCAACCTGTTTAAATTCGCTGATGACACCAAAATTTGGGGGGAGGTGAGCACGCTAGCAGGGAGAGAGAGATTGCAGAAGGATCTGGATAGGTTACAGGGGTGGGCAAACAGGAACAGGATGTGTTTCAATACGGACAAGTGCAGGGTGCTGCACTTGGGTAGTAGGAACCAGCAGCACACTTATACGATGGGGAACTCCCTACTTGAGAGCACGGAGGCGGAAAGGGATCTTGGTGTCATTATTGACTCCAAGATGAACATGGGCCGACAATGCGAGGTCATGGTTGGCAGGGCTAACCGGACCTTGTCGTGCATCCACAGGTGCATCTCGAGTAGAGCCAGGGAGGTGATCCTCCCCCTCTATGCGACGCTGGTCAGGCCGCAGCTGGAGTATTGTGTCCAGTTCTGTGCGCCCCATTTCAGGAGGGATGTGGACAACATGGAGAGGGTCCAGAGGAGGGCCACCCGCATGATCCGGGGACAACAGGGCAGACCCTACAGTGAGAGACTGCGGGACCTGAACCTATTCAGCCTCCACAAGAGAAGGCTGAGGGGGGACCTGGTGACCGTCTATAAACTCACTAGGGGGAACCAGAAGGGTTTGGGGGAGACGCTGTTTCCCCTAGCCCCCGCTGGCATAACAAGGAGTAATGGGCACAAGTTGATGGAGAGGAGGTACAGATTGGACATCCGAAAAAATTACTTCACAGTTAGGGCGGCTAGGAGCTGGAACCAACTTCCAAGGGAGGTGGTGCTGGCCCCTACCCTGGGGGTCTTTAAGAAGAGGCTGGATGCCTACCTGGCTGGACTCATTTGAGTCCCGTTTTTGTTTTTAGGGTTTTTTGTTGTTCTCCCGCCCTGGCGGGGGGTTGGGCTAGAAGATCTATTAGGTCCCTTCCGACCCTAAAACTATGAAACTATGAAACTATGAAATGCTCTAGCATCACAGCAGCATCACATGTACAAGCCTCCTCAGATTTAAAAATGACTGCTGGGGCGCTTTAACTAAAGCTCATCAAATAAACTTAAGTTAAAGCATCCTGTGGCCATTTTTAAATGTGCAGTGGCTTAATACACGTGATGCTGCAGCATTTTACTTTGAGTGGCTCTCCGGAAACTGCTCTAATTAAAATGCCTCCTCATCCCTACATGCGGGTATAAGTAGCTGTGCTGCTCATTTACTTGCTGTGGCTTTTACTTCAAAAGATGCCACTTTTCTAATTGGCTGGACCACAGTCATAGCCCTCCACCACTATTTGGAGAAATGGTTCCCTTTGAAATAGAAGCTTCAACAAACAGCTGAACCACTTCAATGATTCCCCACAACTATTTGCTGTAGCTGGATATACACCCAGGTAATTCGCAAAACTTATCCTTTCAGGGAAAGGAACATAACCCTGTAAAGAATCTGGGTTTTACTCTATTTGGCAAAAGAAACCAGAATGGAGTTGGAAGTTGATGAAGGACCTGTCACTTGTACATTGACACTTATCACGTTCCATCAATCTCATCAGTCTTGTAAAGAACTGCTCGGAATAGGAGAGAGGGTGAGGACAGCCACAACAGTTTTAATAGAATACAGATTAGTTCAGAATTTGTCTGCTTACTCCCCCAAATGGCTTTGGAATTCAGTCACAAAAATCAATACAGTGGGTGTGTTTCTACACCAGATGCATAATACACAGAAGACTAATTCAACTGAGCATTAGTGTGGTGGGCAAAACCTGTGCTAATGCACAGAAGATTTGGTCTAATGTGCAGTAGTGTCACAAAAAAAATTCATCTGTGCTAATGCACAGTAGCACCAATTAAGTTACTGAACTTAATGCGCCATAGTTACAGTGCATTAATAAACATGTAGATGTGCCCAGTGGTGGGCAAACTGTAATCTTTGCTAGTATTACCTGACAGTGTTCAGGTGAAGTCAGTGGAGTGCCACTTATTTAAACTTGCAGAGAATATGGAGGTAGATTTGTCAGACTTAAAGTAGAATTAGATATCTAACTCCTACTGAACTTCAGTGACTTTCAGTGAGTTAGATGCCTACTTGCAAGTTTGTGCCTTTGAAAATCTTCCCCTTGGCTATTCAGTTATGTAAACTGAGACATCATTAGCCTTTTTGCTTCAAGCTCTTTAACTAGAAGATCCAGTTTTGAGAGCCTCTTTGCCTTCCACTTCTATGAATGAATAGGATAAATCGGGGAGTGCCATCTTAACACTTTGGTTTTACTGAAGCAGTTTCATAGACCCACAGGGTAGATGGAGTTCCATGGAAAGAAGGAGATCTGAACTGGGCTCTTCTCTGCAGCACCATTCTTGGGCAGTTAAAGATGATTCTCAGCTAGGTAAAATTATAGCACACTGGGGCTCTTTTGCACATGAAAACATCTTGCTGAGGGTGTTCAGGAGACATCAAGGGTGCCTACAGATGTTTAGCGGTCCTGCTCTAACTCATGGCACTTTACAGAAGAGGGTGTGTGCGCGTGTGGGACAGAGCTCCTTTGCTTCGCAGGCCCAGCCCAGCTCTTCCCAATACCCTAGCTGGGGGCGGGGTGGGGGAGGAGGAGAACAGGAGGCAAGGGAGCTCCATCCTACCCCACCCCCACCTCCAGCTCCAGCTCCAGCCAGGCCAAGCCCAGCCAGCAGCTCTGTGCTGCTCTCTCCCCTTACTCCTCCCTCAGCCTGGGGCTGAGCTGATGCTCGCTGACATAAGCACCAGCTCAGCCCTGCCCCCATGTGAAAAATTAAACCTGGAGGGAACACAAGTTCCCCAAGGTGCTCTACTTTACAGCTCCTTCATCTAATGCCTCATTTGAGGAGGGTTAATTTTTTGCATGATCAGCCATTTAAGAAGTACTCTGTAGCTGTTTACATGTGTTGCATCATGGCTGTAGAGTGCTTTCAGGGACCCAATCGTGCAAAAAAATTAACTTGCGTAAGTGCCCCAAGTCTCTAAAGGAAGCTATTTAGATGCAAGTAAGCGGTGGCTGAGGAAATGAGAACTTCTACAGACCTCAAGAGGAACAAATCTGCTGTCTAACAGGGGACAACCCTATGCCAACCAAATGGTTACAACAAAAAGCTAACTATTGAAGCTGAACATCTTTTCACTATTCAGTATACATTCTAGCCCCCTGGAAACCAAGGCAATGCTACTCTGTAGGTTCTGTCCTTCTTGGGTTTTAAATAAAGTGTGGTCCTGCGCATGATGAGGCTGCTAATTTAATATCTCATTTAGAATGGAGATGAGCCCGCATCTCAGCACCACAGGCTACTGCTGTAGTAACTCAGCACAAGGATCAATGTGTGCTTGGAACTAAGCAGCTTTCAACACCCATAACCCTAAAAAGAGTGCAGGAGTGGCTGCAGAATATGCACTGCACAGTGTGCTGTTATTTGTTGGTCTGTTGTTGAAAATGAGACTGAAGGGGGAGAGGCCTTTAGTTTACATTGTTGCTAGTTCCTTTAACCTTCACAAGCTTAAGCATTCCATCCAAAAATTTCCAGAATAATAATAACAACATTGAAGGCCGTGTAACCACAAAACTATCTACATGTGAGATGTAGCCAACCTCGACCAGCTGCGCTGGCTTGCTTCCTACATCTGGGTTCCAAAATGGGTAATGAGAAAACTCAAAGCACTATTTTAAGAACTCTGGTATCAAGCAGAGTGGGGAAAAAAATCTGCTGCTTTGCTGAAATCAGAATCCGTTGAAAGCATTTCTGTTTGCCTGCCACAGTTCACCAAGCAGCCTAATGTGCTGGTTATTAGTACCCAGCAGAGAGCATGTTTGCAGCTATTCAGCAAAACTATCATATGGCTCTAGCCAAACCAAGAGTGATCAGCTGCTGAGCACTGGAGCTGATGAAGAGCAGGGTTGTTAATATAAAAGCAACAAAAACAAAATGGAGACTGAATTTAATTCCCCCCCCCCCCCAACTTAATCCCAAAAAAAAAGGGGCATGAATTTAATTCCCCCCCCCCCCCAACTTAATGCATGACATTTACAACCAGCAAGTATGACTCAGAGTGTGCTTTGCCAGCATGGGGTCTTTACCATGTTTTCATCTTGTTTTTATTCTTCCTTAGCTCTGGCCATTCTGTTTGTTGATTTGTATTTTTTTCCCTTTTATGCTGCAGTGTTTTTTGTTTGTTTGTTTGTTGATCTGTTTTCCCCTGCCTTGTGCTGTAGGGTGTTGCCTGTGTATGAGCGAGAGCTCAGGAGACAGAAGAGAAGATTCTAAATTAGTCCGTCAGAAATTAATATCTAGAAGTGGCTCCACATTGGTTGATTGGTGCCATTAGACATGCTCATTGTAGTTAACAGGCACTGCTGTGAGCAAACGTGGCACTGATTCATATGTGGGAGGCAACCGCCCACTTGCTAGTGAGGACACAATGGACATATTTCACTCTCATCTACTCCTTATCTAATCCAGAACGATAGCACAGTGTGTCCCTTACTAACATATGGGCACTAAAATCTTTTTGGACCAGAGATCCTCTGCATGTTGATAACTTAGTTCTAGCATCTGATGAAGATGAAATTGGTTTGTTTGTTGCAATGGCTTTCTGATCAACAGCATGTGTGGGTACAAAAGGGTGTCTTTGTGCTGCTGGTCTTAACTTGCATTAAGACTCAACTGAGGATTTTCTTCGTGTAGAGGAGTTCTGGACTAGCATCAGGCCTGTGTAGCTTACTTTCCACCAGCTTCTCTTAGTCCACAGCTTCATGTCACAGGGTCATGTTGGAAAGGCAGCGGGTGAGGGTCATTCCAAGTTAGCAGTGCAGTCCCTGGGGAACCGTTCAAAGTGGTACAAATAACGATATGGTTTCCTTAGAAGACATCAAGACGAGCTTTGCCTTTTTCTCCCCACTGTTGCAGGTAGCTCAGAATCGGTACATATGAGAACTGAACCCTCAGACAGGGAATGGCAGTGAATTCATCAGGGGAGCCAACAAACAGCTAATACATGAGAGCAACTAACTGAGTCCAGAACATTCCCTCCTGATGTAAAAATATACGAGAGAGAGACAAACAAGCCTCAGGACTGCATCCTTTCATTCCTTTGAAGACCATCTGCTGTCTTGTCCTCTGGATAGGGAACTTGGGTGTACGTAGCCAAGTAGCTGACAGGAAATATCGTCATTCTCTTTTCTGCGTGCTGCTGCTTGTCATGCGTACCCTAAAAATAGTGGGCTGCTGCTTCATCAAAAGTATGCGACACTCCCAGGTGAAAATTGGGACATCAGAGAAGTGTTTCGGAAACTTTGGGTTTATTATCCTGGTCACACCAGGGATTGGAACGTGGTTCAGTGTTTTATTTTAAAGTTCTTTAAATTGTGGAGAGCAATATACACTTATGAACACGAATAACCCGGCTTTCCAGTGAATATGGCAAAATAGGACAACACGTGTCAAGAATTGCAAAAGTCAGAAATGGAAAAGATGTGCCAGGGTATGGACAAACATAAACATTATATGGCTATCAAATGATACCAGTACAATCTGTTACAATCCAACTGTTAGGTCTGCATGCTTCTGATTTGATAAAAATGTAACAGAACTGTTCCAGCTTTAACCTTGCTTCATGCAGGGTCAAATTAAGGCAATTTAGCTCATTCATGTCTATCGGATCATGCAGATATAACAGTTACAGCATACATAATAGCCGCCATGCTCTCCTCAGCTGCAGCTTTCCCTTCCCTTATAAAGCAGAGAGCAATGTAGGTTTATCTATATGCTTAGGTTATCTGTTATATCACCTGTGACTGAAATCAGTGGAATTTTTCCAAATGCACATTTGTGTAGAATGGAATCCAGTCCACTTTTACCTTTTTTTCCAATTAAACTATGTCTTAAGATCTGAATTGAAACTCTGTGCTTTTCCAGGGTTGTTTCTGTAGCTGGGAGATGTCTTTTCATATGAGAGTGCCAATATTATACCACCCACACTCCTTTCCTGTAATTTTACTGATAGAAATTGTAAGAAAAATCCACAATAATGAATATCCGGTACTTTCAAAACTGAACTGGCAGCTCAGTGTTACCTAATTAATAGTTTCTTTTACTTTCCAGTTCCCAAGGGACCTACATTCCCATTAATAACTTTCAGAAGTTGTATAACAATTATCTCACTAGCAGCGGCATTCCCGTGCAAGCGTCCCTTAGCATAGAAATAAGGCAGGTGAAAAAAGGTTCACATTTGACGTTTGAAAGACAACACTTAGGAATTCCAGGATAGCATTGCCCTTACCATCTTCTTAGGAAATCCACTGTAAAATACAGTATGTGCTAAGTACAAGCCTTGCCACCTAAATATGGACTGCTTTTTGGCTCTAGCTGTTCAGAAAACCCCAGAGCAGGTGCCACATTAAATCACCCAACTTGATTCTTTCCCTGGCTGAAGATCACTGAGAGTTTACATGAGCAGGAATTTGGACAACACATCTCACAATTCAGAAATGCTAGGAAACTAACGTTGCCCAACAACATAAACACATTCTTACCTCAGAAAGTCTTCAGGCTCCTAATTGTGCGGAGTGCAACTTAATTTGGCTTTGACAAGGAAGTGGTTTAGCACTTATAGGGAATACATTTTAGTCTGTCATACCAGTGCTAATTTATGCCACATTTCCTTTCTATTTATAACTGAAATATTCTAAATTGGCAACATTAGATGCAAATATATTACAATCTAACAGGAGGCCAAATATTTGGTAAATCTGATTTAATTAAGGGAAGAAATTATTCCTGTATGGCTGCCTAATGGTCTTGCAGTTGCAATTTCCAGAGTTTGATTTGCTGAAAAGCTGCTGATAACTCCTAAGAAAGTTTGAAGATTAGTATGTAATTTAGCTTAGCTTATTCTGTATGTCTCATTGCATTTTATTTTACTGAGGACTCTTGCCTAAATGGAGGATTTTTGTTACTTGAAAGCATTTTTGATCTCCTATTTATTTTCCACCTGCAATTATAACCCTCTCTTGGTGACATCACCATTGGCTGCTGTGAAAGAATTATAATAAATGGCTGAATAAAGAATTATTGACGTCAAGTGGAAAATAACCAGCTGGAGCTGATGAGCTCTCAGAAATCCTGTTTGCATGCAAGAATCATATGTAAAAAAGAATCCAAAGGGAGGCATACTGAAAATGCTTTCTGTAAAGTATCTAGTGTACAGAGCCATTGCAAAGGCATCTTATGTAAGTGGTCAGTAACACAAAAATAAATATAGAATATAAGTAGCTGGAGGCCAGTTGCAAATGGGAACATTGCCAACACAGAATATATTTGGATTTTATTTAGAGAAATTTTGTAACAGCAAACATCTGAAATATTTTTTTTTCCCTGAAAATTATTTAAATGGTAGGTGCATACAGTTCTTAAATGTCTTTCAGGAACATTTTTCCAGACACCTTTGGCGTAATATGAATATTCTCCTTGCAATGAAAGCCAGTTTAAATGTATCCACAGGTCTCTAATTCTTTTTGGGTAGTCCTGCATATTAGTCAAATAATTCCTACTTTTTTGTTTATTTGGGTATTAGCTGCAAGTACATCTGGTGCATGAAGGATCATAGGGTACAGCTACATACCTGCCTGACCAGTGTGTAGTTACTGAGCATGCTCTATAGCTTTGTGGGTGCTTACACTGCTGAATACAGAAGTATAACTCAGGGGCAGGGTAGGTGGTGCCCCAGTGTGACAGGGTGCTTGGTGGTGTGGCAGGGGCTGATTAGGGAGTCAGTTGACCAGAAGGGGGCTGGGCTTGAGGCATATAAGCCTGGGGCGTGAGATGGTCAGGAAGTCTTCTTCTGACCGTGCCACAGGGAGAGGACCTCCCTGTAATGGGGCTGCAGCAGGGCTCCTGGATTAAAATTGGAGCTGGGTAAGTGGCAGAGCCAGGCCTTGGAAGAGAGAGACCTGGGGCCCAGAGGGAGAGAGCCTGAGCCCAGGAGGAGTGAGTATCAGCAAGGCTAAGGGAGTCCAAAGGTCTCACTGGCCCAGCAGCGGAGCCAGGGCCCAGAGGTGGACTGAAGGTCAGGAACCAGTGATGGAGATTGCCAGGACCTTAGAGACTGGCCAGAGTCTAGGGAGACTGAAGGTCAGGGACCACAACTGGAGATTTCCAGGGCCTGGGTGCCCAGAGATTTCAACTTGTCTAGGAGCAGGGTCAGAGAGGGGCCAAAGGCTGGGGGTCACTGCCAGAGACTGAGGGGACCAAGGATCCTGTAGCCCAGGAAGGGGGGAAAGTGTCAGCCATGCTAGGAGGCCTGAAGTGGGAGCCTAGGTGGGGCTGGTGTCAGCAGTGCCAGGGAGCCTGTAATTCAGAGCCTAGGGGGGCAAGTTGTCAGCAGGGCCTGGGAGCCCAAAGGTCTTGCTGTCCTAAGAACAGGACTGAAGGTCAGGAACCACAGCTGGAGACTGCCAGGGCCAGGGATCCTGGAGATCTCAACTGGCCTAGGACCAGGGCCAGGGTCTAGGAGGACCAAACAACAGGATCGCAGCTGGAGACCAAGGGGACTAAAGAGACCATAGCCCAGGCATGTGTTAGCAGATCATCTGCAAGACATGGGAGTCGGTACTGGGGAGGATGGAGCCCATGAAATTATCCCTTAAGGCAATGACCATGGGTAGCTGTGGTCATTAGAGTAAGATCAGGTTTGGGAAGCCTGGGGGCAGCCTCCCTTTCATCAGAAGTTAATAACATCAAGGCATGATGGGAAAGTAAAGGCAAGAGGGCCCCAAAGGGAGCCAGGTTGGCAAGGTCTGAGCCATCACCAAGGAGCATCATGACCGCCCTTGGGATGAGCACTTGCTACCCCCAGGCAACACCTTTTGTGGGGAACTTTAAAATCGCCCTGACCACAGAAGTGGCTGATTGTATTGCTGTGATCAGCACCATGGCAGACAGCGCTGGTCTGGGCATTGCATGGCTGCCCTGGGCATAGAACTGCCTGCCTGCACTTTTGTCCATCCATATTGCATTGGTAGTGGAATTACAAACTGTGCTTAAGGGCTGGAAAATTTAGGGAGTAAAGGAGAAATTGGGAGAGTGAAGGAGGGTAGAATTTGACCAATTACACTGGGCATTTATTACTTTGCTACCTCCCTAATAGTCCTGGTTATGACCTCCAAATTCTAACAAAAAAGATCTTATACAGGTGCTTCTGCCAGCTTACAGGGATTGTGGAGCAGCCAGCAAAGCTGTTGTTCTTGTCTATCTCATTCTCTTGGGTGCTCTTTTCATTTGGGCTGAAGAAATGCAGGTATGTTTCCTGGCCCAACACGACTGAGTTATTTTGTGTACAGTTCCATCAAAATGAGTAGGGTGTAATTTGACTCATGATTACATTATAATGCTTTTCATGAAGAGCAGTGTTGAGTGACAGTTAGGTGTTGATCCTGTGTTAGGAAATTTGGCCACCCTTGTTATATGGCATTTGAAGGGAAGCTCAGTCTCTTTGACATAAAACTTCATTAGCAGAGACAAGCCTGAAGCAAGCTGATGGATTCAAACACACTCCAACTTTGGAGATGTCTGTAATACAAACCCAACTGGAGCCTGAAAGGAATTACCTTTTGAAATCTGAATCTTCTCTGTCTTGTGTAGAAAGGCAGTTAGCTGGCTTAGTCTTCTATGTAGCTTTTATAGTACTGTTATGTCAAGGAGTCCAGTGGAGCTACGCTTGATTTGTATTACTGTAAATGAGGAGAGCGTGTTCTTCTTATGTCCTTGGACCCAAGGAAGGAGAGACTTTACCTATATATGTACAGGACAATGTTTTTGAAAGCCCATTATGAATTGAACAAAAAAGTAACTGAACAGCAGTGTGAAGTGACCCAGTCTGGTATATTTTAAAGCAAACATTTCTAAGAATGCAAGCAGATATAACACCTGAGCAAGACCATAGACTACCTGTGTATTTTACATTTCCAAACTTATCCTCTACAATCCCCAGAACCTGACAGTGCTGTTCACACAGTGAGGAAGATACTGATGAAAGCTGTTTAATGATTGACACAGGCCCAAATTGAACTTTAGCGGCAACCTATTCCATTTTACATTCCCATATGGCAGTTACCCAGCCACCTAAACAATCTGCTTGGCACTTATATTTGGAATACGCTAGACACACACTGCATATCTCCCACTCTTTGCTGTCTAGGTGGCCTGATTCTAAAGGAAGACTGGATAATGTCTAATCTATAGTCTCATTGTGCTGGGTAGGTGGAGAGATCCAGGCTCAAAGAGGGGGTTGAAAGCTGAATCTCCTGCCTCTAATGCAAGAGCCCTAACCACAAGTAGGTTATAACAAAGGATAGCTGTCCTTTAGCATCTGACATCCTCTAGGACTTTTCCCAACTACATTTTTGAGTCTTACACTTACACAGGTAAGCATGTATGCAGCCGTGTACCTAACTGGCCAGAATGTAGTCTACTTATTCATTCTCCATAGCCATGTGGAAACTTATGCAAGTGTTTAAGAGTAAGTGTTAAGAACAGCACTTATGTGGTTGGGTGAATGACATTTGGGCATGTAATGTGTAAAGTGCTTCCACTTCCTTGACAGGTGCCCTAAGCAGTAGAATACTGAAGTATGTTGGACAGCTCCTCCTTGCTACATATTGATCTTCTGCAAAATAAATGTTGGGATCTTGCACAGATGTATGTGTTTTACCAGGTGTAATAGGATCACAACTGAATGAAAATGGTGAATCCCTTTTGAGACTCCCTACATCCTCTCACACACCTCAGGCACCCAGCTCCACCCCCAATCACCTCTATGTATGCTACACAAACACAAGTAAATAAGGACAAAAATATTTTTTAAACCAAATTAATGCATGCTGTAGATGTTCATTTTTTAGAATATAATTTGGTATTTTTCTTGTTCCGAGATGGTAAAACCTCTTGCCAAAAGGAGTATTTCCTGGGGTGAGGGGAGGTACTTCTGGTGGCAAAGGTCAGGGGTTAGGGGGTGGGACATCCAGTCACAAGATGGCAACCAGGGGCAGGGCATCTTTCAAGGGGCAGGGCTACCAATGCATCCCTTGACAGCTTGTTAAAACTCAGTAAGCGGCCCTCCGTCTGAAATAATTGCCTGCCCCTGCCTTAAGGAACTGAAGGGCTGCAGCTGTGGGAAGGTTAATGCGGTCCTGGCTCACTGGGAATCAAAAAACCCCAGCAGGCAGAACCAGTGGGGGATGTGGAGGAGAAGCAAACCTTCTAGAAACATTTGAGCAGATGGCTGAGGTGTATCAGTGCTCTTGTGATCTCTGGGCTATTAAGTTAGCTCCCTGTCCAACTGGGGAGGCCCAGGCAGCCTATTGGGTCCTGGGAACCAAGGCTGCATGCATCTATGACATATGGCAGTTGGTCATTTTTGACTGTGTGGGGCTAATGGAAGAGGTCTACAGGTGGCAGTTCCAAGGATGACAATTTGACTCCAACTTTGGCTTAGGGCAGTGGTTGCCTTAAGGATCTGTGCAACTGGTAGTTGGAACTGGAGACTAACTCTGCTGAGAAAATAGTGGAACTGGTGACATTAGAAAAATTTAGCCAAATCCTGCAGGTAGGGACCTGAGAATCAAGGAACATAAAAGAGGTAATATACCTTGTTGAGGTTTTTTGAGAGACTGAACTGGAATATGGAAAGACTGTACCTGGGCTAAAGGGGCGGGCCTACCAAACTATAAACTTCAAATGGGGAAAGGTGCGGGTGGCATGTGAGCTCTGGAAAGGATACCTGGACCTGGAGCATGGCCTTGCTCTCTAAATGACAGGAGTGAGCTCAGGAACTTTGGGCCATGGAACTGAAGGCAGGAGGTGATTGCCACTGATAGGGAGTAGTAGATCAGAAGCCAGGGGAACCCTCCGTCTGTTTCTCATGTGGCTAGCCTGGGCATTGGTGCTGAGGTTACAGTCTATAAGAAGGCAATTATGTTCAATCTGGGGTCTC